GTAGTAACGTACGTAGTAACGTAAGTAATAAGAGTAGTAGAGAAGAGAGAGAAGAGAGAGAAGAGAGAGAGAGAGAGAGAGAGAGAGAGAGAGAGAGAGAGAGAGAGAGAGAGGGCCTTACAGCTTGATTAGGAGATCAAGAAGCTGCTCCTTTTTGAGGGGGTCCAAAAGCGAACGAAGCTGCTCAACCGCCCCCTCATCCGCCCCCTCATATCCCGACGCCTCCTCTTCTCCGCTCCCTGTTTCTTCCAGCCTCCTCTTCTTCGCCTCGTCCATTACTAATTTGTGTATGCTCCTCTTTCTCTCTCCCTCGAAGCGGAAAAGGGAAGCCACTCCGCGGGGAGTGAAGAATACTATGGATTAGACCGACATTTTTTTTTTTTTTTTTTAAAGATCGTATAGGAAATTATTTATCTTTGTTACAAAAGAATATATAATTGCTACGGCTATTAGATGTCGACTTGGATGACTTGAAGTGCATAATAAAGTTCCAGAATTTATGCTTTGAATTTTAAGTCCCACCTCATTTGAAAAACTGATTGAGATGATTTTTTGACCCGAAACGTATAATCTCTAAGAAAATATAAAAATTAATTTTAAAATTAAAAATAATAATTTTATGAATAAAATATTTGGAATAATATTAGCTCCAACAGTTTTTTCGATGGACCGCGCATTTGTGTTCATCTTTAAAATGTACGGGATACAAATGTAATAAGAATACGTGCTCTGATGCATGAAACAATTTTTTTGAAAAGTAAATAATCTCTATATATACCTTTTTCATTTTTTTTTTGATGTATTGGACTTGGACTGACACTTCTAAATACCTAATATTCAACGTGTATAATTTGTCCAACAAAGGCACATACATTATACACCTTCGGGAGCATAATTTACATTTATTCGCGATTTTGTCAATTTGAAATCGTAGGAGCCACTTGAGGATCATCTAATGATTTATCTCCAAAGAAAAAAAAAAGTGAAATATAAGTTTACTAACACTCGGATCTTACACTCTAAAAATTGGAGGGTCTCTACTAAATTTCGAGACATTATTTTTTTTTTCCTAAAATTGATCTTTAGCTCGAGATATACTTTGCATGAAAAGAAAAGATTACTATCCAAAAAAAATAGTATATCGTATAATATTTTATTTGGAATTTTTAAAACCTTATACTATTCAAATAAGATGCACCTCAATAATCTTGTAGAAAAGAATGTTTGGAGAACCCTTAATTTGATCATCCTGATCTCGGCATATAGGGATATGAAGAAAAAAAAAAAAATTACCAATAAAAAAAATAGTAAATCTTTTAGCAAGCTATCTAAACTATCTATTTTTTAGATTTTTAACTGTTTATTGATGTGGTTCTACCGTTTTAAATTTTAAAATTAAAAAATTATAATAAATATACCTTAATTTACAAATTAGAAAAAAACTCACTTCCATAAATCTCATCTACCCCCCTTTTCCTCAATTGTGGTATGGAAAATAGTTGGAGTTAACCGTAATGCTGGCTGGGGTTAGGGTTTTTTTTTGCGAAAGTAAAGGTATATTTCTGATAATTTTCCTTTAAAAGTTTATAATTATGGATGAAAACGAGTGTTCTTTATTTGTGTTTTCATGAGATCAATTCCTGCTTCGTTAGCCTGCGGCCTATCCTCTCTCTCTCACTCTCATTTTTACTTCATCTTGAGATCACGCAAGTAGAAGTCTTTGCCAGTATTTTATCAGTGTTTTACACCGCATTTAGCTTTCAAGGCCACAAGCTTTATTTGATGGGTGTTGTTTATTTTTAGAGGAAGCCGCCAATGTTGTGAGACAAAGAAACAAAAGGGGGTTTGAATTGATTAAAGGGAAGTGGGTTTTAAAGAGGAGTGAGAAATGTCTCGTTATGATTGTATGCTTTTGGAGCTTTGCTAAAGCCCCAAATAGAGGAGGTGGCTCTTGTGGACCTGGTTTCACAAGTTGAGTTCTTACTGATATTAAGTATTTTGGGAATATACATTTGGGCTATGGTATCAAGAAAGTAGATGGAAGATGATACCAGGTTTGCTTTACTACTAAATTTCTTTTGCTTCAGTTTACTATTAGGGTTCTCTCATGTTTACCCATGAGGACTTCCTTTTGCTTCAATTTTACCCATACATTGGGAACTGTTTTTTTTTGCAGTCATAGAATTGGTTCAGTAGTTCTATTTTTCTTTTTGTTCTTTGCAATGATGTAGGGTTGTTATCTTTTTAGATTTTTTATATGATAAAAGATTTTGGTTATGGTTTTTGTGTTTTGGGTATTGTGGTATATTGAATTTTTCTGATTTTAGCGCCATGTTTTGGAGGATGAATTCTCATTTTTGTTGTGTTACTTCGATGCAGTAAATTTTGCCGGTGTGAGGCATGTAATGAGCAATCTAGAAGAATGTAGATGACCCTTCTTGTTCAAGTATTCTATTGTATTGGAGCCTTAGTTTAGATGTGGTTTTGCTATTGGATCTTAGTTGTCAGGAAATGGAATCATTCATTCGGACTTGTTTACATTTTTTTGGCTCATGGAATTTTATACGATTGCCGCATACCAATGAAGCTGAAGGGCAAGTTCTATACAAGCTTTGCTCTATAGGGCTGAATGTTGGGTGGACAAAAAATAATATATCCATAGAATGAGTATAGCAAAGATGATGATTTTGAGATGGATGAATGACAAGATAAGAAGGTATAGAATTTAAAATGAATCAGTTTATGAGAGTTTAGGTGTCGCACCAAAGGCAATAAGATGAGAGATAGTAAACTTAGGTGGTGTGGCGTTGATCAATTGCAGCACCTGTTAGGAGGTGTGAGTTAGTTCAAGTGGAAGGAATTAAAAGGGCAAGGGATATGCTTAAAAGGACGTGGTTGGAAGTAGTTTGAAAAGATATGGGGACGTATGGCCTCATTGAGGGTATGGCCTTTAATAGAGCAGAATGGTGGAACAAGATTCGTATAGCCGACCTAATTAATTGAGAAAAGACTATGATGATGATGATGTCTCTTGCATTAGTCATAATTAAAAGTTTTGAACCTTGGAGATTTCATGGCTCTTATATGACAATTTTATAAAGCTTAGGTGTTTATATAGTTTCAGTTTTAAGTCGAATGCTTGCAAAATGGTTTCGCTCTAAGCTCACAAAAGCATGGAAATTGCGATATTGATTCTTTTTGTGGAAACGCTTAATGTTTATGACAGTTCTGATTAGACCAGAGTCTATGTCTGCTGCGAGAGAATGATAGTCATATCTCATTTTTGTTTGAGGCAATACCATGTGAAATAATGAAGCAATTTAAATAGAGATATTAGTGTTGCTCAAAAGAAAATTATGGACTCTTCAGGCAACCCTAGCTTTTCTCTTTCCAGCGTAACTATTATTTTTACTGATATTATTTCTGAAATGCTATAAGGAATTGAAGGGGTGTTTGTGCTAACCATGGAGATGGTGCATGTATAAGTTCGCTTCTGGTGTTTTGTTTTGGGACTATGTGCAATGTCAAATCTTTGTTAAGATTTTAATATTGAGAAACGGATTTTACTTGATGGTTTAACCATAGTAACATAAGGCATTTTTGGTCTTTTGAGTAAAGCCTCAATTAAATTAGCACTTTTTTGCCAACCACATACTTGTAAAGTTCAAATATATTTGACTGATCATAAGGAAAAATAGGCATAGAGGTGGAAACTAGATACCTTTTCACTTTGTGTGTGTGTGTGTGTGTGTCTGTGTTTTTTTTTCCTTATTTTGACCATCATTTGTGAAATCAGCTTTTGCAGTAGAATTACATGTCGTTTCAATTTTCATCTTCAACACCCTTGTTCTTCGGGAAAGGGGCTGGGGTCATGGTGGTAACGCCCCCATACCCTAATCACCACGTTGTGGTTTCCATTCCCACTGACACCACCCCTCTAACACCTTAAAAAAACCTAACTCCTAAACTATTTGGAAAAACAGGTAGGGGCATGTCTTCCCTACTGAATTACCACAAAAAAACACCCTTGTTCTAAAGCTTGATAATTCATTTTCTTTTTAAAATAAGTTTTGACTGCTAAGACTCTATAGGTACTCTATGGGGCTTCTTGTAGTGTGGTTTAGTATATTACGATCTGTACTGGTTATGGGATGGACATCACTTGTCAGGTTCTCATGTTATGAGGAACGATTTCATATATTGTGACTGGTGACCTCAGAATAACCTAGTGGATTAGACGTGCAAATACCTGTGTCGCTCTTCTTATTTTTCTATGCTCATAGGGTTTTCATGAGCTTCTGAAACATGTGTGCATTCAATTGCTCTGTATCAGTTTGATGATTAATGTATTCGGTACTTCAAAGATCTTCATCCAGCCTAGACTTTAACATTATATTTAAAAACAATGCAGTTTAGAACAACTACCATTAAACCCTTTGAGCCTGTCCTCTTTTAGATCTGGTCAAGTTGATCCTATCATATCATATGTCCCTGCACTTTATACTGAAAGCATAATTTCGGACTCACCTTTTCCATGGCCTTGCCCATATTAATAGGCTTAAGCTGCACAGCATCAAATCTATGGGTATCTCTCATGTGAAACTGAGCGATGAAAACAGAAAACCTGGTCTCCTCTACCAATGGCTGCATGCGGACATACTCAACAAGAGGCAGTGTCAGATAAATGATATATGACAATAATGGCAATTTTCTTAAAGTAGACTCAAAGTGCACGCACAATTAGAGAGAATTTTCATATGCACCCAAAACCAGTCAAAAAACAAAAATCATCTGTATCTTAAGCAAAACATTTGGAGTTATCAACGTTTGCTTAACCCAAGTGCAAGACATTGAGGAATAGTACTTATGAATAGACAAATTTCCTTTGCTCTGAGCATTCAAATATTATACCAGCTGATAAAACTTTGAATCAAAGGGTTGGATATCTTTTATGTGATAAAACATATCTGTGTGTTTCATATAGGCTTTTGCATAAATTTGGAGTTTTAAATCTGATGGTTTTTGAAATGTTCTATCATTAGAGTTTCCAATGGTCCCTGGCAACCAAGTAGGGCATTCACAAACATATGCACCATATAACAGTCGTTTCCCAACAAATTTTTGGGGAATAATTTGTGCAGTGTACGTTATCAACTGCTAGAACAAATCATACGAGTCTTTGGAGATTAAGTTGTAGGTGACCAAAAAGGGAATTCTTAAATGATAAATTTGAAACCATTCTGGTCGAGGTAAAATGGCTGTTCATGACAATTACAAATCATGTTGATTGGTGTAAAGATAGATATGTACAATTCTAGCAACCATCTAAAGGAGGTGTCTCTTGGTGCTTCTTTTGCTACTGATACAAATTTAAAGTATTGAATTGATTGCCTTCGTTTTTCCAAGTTCCTCATGGATCTGTTAAAATAATAATAATCCAGGCTGCAGCATTAATACGACTACCGTGAATTTTGACTTATAATTGTATATTATGAATTTTCAGCTGCAGTGTTCAGGTACTTTCGTGGAATTTGCACAAACCCCTTTATTCTAAAAGAAATTGCAATTATATGATCACTTAGTTTGACAGAATTGTTCCCCACGACAAAAAATTTGCATCTCCATATCAAAAATATCTGAACATAACACTCTCTCTCCCAACAAAAAAAAAAAATTGTTGCTTGATCTCTGCCTGTGGCTTTCGCAGCGTCAACTAATGCAAATGACAATGGTGTGACCCCTAACTTCAACAAGGAATTCCATTACCTCAATAAGGAAGAGTGTGCTTCATGGGCTTCTAGTGAAACATAACAATACCAAATATGGACTCGAATTTATAAGTGACTCTTCAAAAGATGAGTTCGCTCAATTCCCAAGAAATGGTATGTACGAAGATGACGTCAAACTCACTCTTCAAAAGATGAGCTCGCTCAATTCCCAAGAAATGGTATGTACGAAGATGACGACAATGATGACAACGACGAAAAAGAACCAGATGACGAGTCTCAGGCCTAAGTCTTGAACTAGGTTCGAATCTCGAGCTTTGCAAGCTGTACCTGCTGCTCTAAGGTTTGGGAAAGGTTTTTTAAATAATTCTCAAATATAATCAGAATTACTTGTAAAATGTTTTGATGATGTCTTTGTTGACTGATTACTTAGTTACAATTTTTTTGCAGACCTACAGAAATTTGGTTTTGGGTTCTACTCTGTTGGGAGTTTTTGTGAATTTGTCCTAAGATGCATGTATGAGAGAGAGAGAGAGAGCAAACCTTTTTTTTCCTCCCCCTTCCCCCTCTGTTTCTCTCTCTTTATTTTGGTAATCCACGGACGAAATGTAGACCCTTGCAAATTTCTATGGCCGTTTTGTTTTTGCTTCTAATGCATTATGTACAAAAGAACGGTTCAACTTCTTAAAAAGGCACTAGATCCATGGATTGGAGTAACAATTCATCTCAACTGCATCCATAGATGAGGATAGACGGTTGAATTTACTTGGAGCACATTGTTGGTATCTTACATGTGTCATGGTTATACTTTACCTTTGTTTAACTGCCCAAAAAAAAAAAAATTCCGTCTGTTTCATTTAGTGATTGAAAAACTGGCACTTTGGCCTTGACTCGCAGAGTCACATTTAGAGAGTCACTTGGACCCAATAGGGTACTAGGACCCATAGGAAATCCTCAGGAACCGTCAGACCCTCGAGGGTTCTTAAGACAGTTGTGTTAATTTTTTGGAGAATCAGTCAGCTGAGCACGCTGACATGAGCTCGTTCTGCAGATTTCCGAGCCCAATTCCATGATTTTGATCACTGATTTTGTTTCATTTTGCAATGTATTGCTTGGAAAATACTAGCAATGCAATGAAGTAACAAGCGGAATAACTTTCCAATAGTGAGGGCAAGAATATATGATGGAGTGGTAAAAAGAAGGGTAAATTAATTAGGGGCGTGTCTTCCTCACGGAATTACTCAAAAAAAACAACTCAGAACCCAAATGAATGAATATGTTTAATAGTTATTGAGATTGCTAAGATAGTCCAAAGAAAGAGGAGGCTATTTGGTTAACCTTTTCATCCTTTTCTTAAAATTTACAATAAGACTTCTTAAATAATTTGTACAGACACAGTGGAGAGGCGTCATCTCATCTTAAACTACGCTAAGAGAGTTAACCCATAATTGGGATGTAGTCTATGACCTGGCCACCAGCTTATTCATGACTTTGGCCATCTCCTAAACTGAATCTTGAGGGAGTCTTGTCCAAAAGTTCATCATCAAAACTTGACTCAATGACACCTGCAAGATTAATGGGTTGTTTTTCTGAATAAAGAACGTTGATATTGTGGCTTCCAAACAGGTTCTCGCTGCGTTTCTGTTGCTGATCGACCATCTTTTGGAGGTACTTTCCGTGCTCCTCAATTTGTAACTGCAGTTTCCTTTGTATCTGCAAACGATGGGAGCAGGGAGGGAGTGGCTTAACAATAATTAATGATATTGGTCCAGAAAGATCTAACATCATGTGATAAGTTTCATAACTAGATACAATCGGGACCATCTTCTTCTATGTGTGTGTCTGTGCGTGTGCATGAGTGTGTGTGAGGCTAGGCTGCAGCTGATGCTTCTCTCAATGTACAGGGTAACCCAAGGGGGGGGGAGTAGAGAGAGAGAGAGAACTGCTGTCATTCGCTGTTGCCTCTAATTCTTTGAATTTCTAAATGTTTTGGAAGTAAGAGCAGGTGTTTAAAATTCATAATTTCATATAAAAGCAAAATATTAATAATGATGATAAGTGGAAATCGTTTACCTCCAATTGCTCGTGCAGGCGCCTCTGCACATCCATTTGCATGCGTAGTGCCTCTGTAATTTGAATGCCCCTGCTAAATGCTAATTAACATTAAAAAGTGATCATTTAGCTTAATAAACTGAAAAACCAAATCGATTTTCCTTTCCATCAACATCTCATGCATTTTTTGTGGGACACAGGAAAGACAAGGAAATTCATAACAGGCCAAGTCCAAAGAAAGTTACGTTTTAAGGTCATGTCGAATGTCATTGGTGGTTTTCCTTTCAAGCTTCCCTGCCATCCAAACAAAATAATTTCATATAACAGAGATTTTTCAGAAGAAAATCGTTATTCATAACTATAACAAACAGACTATATGCTTACATCATTGAATAGATTAACTATCTACATGGTACAACACTAGCATGGACTTTTGGAGGCTAAAACAAATGTGCATGTTTAGAGTGTTTCTTTCAATAAGAGAAAAGGAAAACAACATGCATACAAAACAAAACACATACACACACACACAAATGAAAAAGTTTGAATACGGTGTCAACCTTATACGCCTCAAAAACCCATTGGAAAAAGTTATTTCAATGTTAGAAAACCTCCAATTGATTTTCTCAAGCTCGGGATGAATGAATATGGAAAACAAAAAGGATTTCAAGTTTTAAGGATAGTGCATCTTGTAACACATAATATAAACAGTCCATTTTCAAGATTTTCATATGTTAATAGTTCTGCTCAATTTGCCCAATTCTTTGAGCTATAGTAAGGGTTCCTAAGACTAGAACTGCAGCTTCCTGCAGGGTTCAGAAGAGTACCATACTGTGATTGTTTAATATTTACACCTCATATAAAAAAAGACTGAATACTATGATTCCTATTCATCCAATTGAGATGAACCGCTCTTACATAAGCATAAAACTCTGCTCTTGCATGTTCAATTAGGTTTGTCATTCACCATGCGAAAGTTTTAAAAACTCTTTATGTTTTAGTCACATTTACAAATAGGAAAGATAGATATTAAGCATTTATAGTCTTCAACTCAAGAGCCATGTAGATGCGAATATTACTTGGAAAAAGTGGTTATCTCTATCCAAGAATAAAGGAGGGAATTATGGAAAAATAGAACAAAGCATCTAGGTAAAAGCTATTCAAGCCACCACAGAGGTTTGGCAAAACCAGAAACTAATCCCTTGAGAGCATTAAAGTGTTATGCTTCAATCATGATGGCAACAATTCAATTCTTGTGTCCACAATCAGCTATACATCTTTTTTTTTTTTGGGTGATTACGCATACAGATTTTTTCCATGGGAAACAGCATTTCATGCAATGAATGTGCCAGTAACTTGAATGTATTTTCCCAAAAAAAAAAAGAAATATCACAAGGATTTCTTCTCAAGGGAGGGGAATAGGGGGCCCGAGTAAAATATCATAACACTGCCTACTCCTCTGTGTCATCGTCTTGCAAGTTCATTCCAAACTTTGGATAGCTCACCCCCCTACACAATCTGAAACTCCAAAGCCTTAGCTTTGGGGTCGACTTCCAGAATACAAGTCCTATGAGATGTTTTTTTCTTCAGGGCTATGCCCACACCAGATGACAACCAAAGCACTCTCTCAGAATTCCCAATCTTAAGGCACCTTGTCTATCCCTTTCTCGGCCCCAGAAGGTTAGGCTCTTCACAACCGGTTCCACTTTTCTAGAAGTCCCTAATTGAAAAGGATATATCTGAGCAAATAAAAGAGGACCAATAGCATGCATAACAGGCCTCGATAAACATTAGCTGACTCCTCTGTTTCAAAAAATGCGATGTTGACTTTCACTCTCAAATCCATCACCTGAAATTGCAGTCGCTTCTTTCATATTCCTTGTTCATAATACATATTTCACATATTCTGATGGTGAATATATTAGAGTACAACTTGAGAGCACATTGCAATCATGCAACAGAATGAAGTATTACTATTCATTCACAAGTCACGCCAGACCATGGATAAATGAACAACCATTAATTCAATAGTCGACACAAAAATATGATTAAGTTTTAGTACCTTCTGCAGCATCTGGAAGGTACTTGGCACTGCGATACTTCTACCAGCATATTAAAAAGAAAAAGATCAGATCAGACATAGTAAAAATAAATTTGATCAAAACACATCTTTAGAGGAGCTAAATATAAATAAAAATGAAGCAAAAACCTGCAAATGGCTTTTAACATGATAGATTGTCAAGCCTTCTGAACCCATCTGTTGCAAGATAGCTTTTGGGGTTGCCTCTGTTCCATTTACCAAAGACATAAGAAGAAATGTCCTCACAATTATTCAAAGAACTTAAAGTTCTCAGAAGAATGCAAAACTAAGAAAATAAAGGAAGTCATGATGCAATCACTTTCTTTCTTTTATCCTAGAATGTCTTATCACTCACTGCCTGCACCACCAAGTCGATTTACTGACTCAACAAATTTTTCATGAAGCTCTTGAGTCCATCTCATCCTTGTTTTATTCGAGGCACCAACTCCACATGTAACATGAGTGGAAGCAACAGAAGTCCCTACATGACAGCTTGAGAAGCACCTCTCTTGTTGATTTTGAAAGGCCAGTTCAGTGGTTGAGCAGTTGGAACTTTGAAGATTACCCTGCAAAAGTTTTAAAAACAATAATCAAGCTAGGACATGACAATAGTCTAGGAAACAGAGTAATATTTATTACACGCTAGTTGTTTGCTTAGTCAGAGTTCAAACCAGAGAGTTCAAACCAGGGGAATCTTTGGAATTTAAGACTAAGATTTCAAATTTAAGGCTGAAATTCAGCCAAATTGCTAACTTCACCTATATTGAGAGAAACAAGGCACCATTAACAGATATATATCAGATTATTTTTTAAACCCATCTATTCCAAGTTCCAAGCCCAGGAATCCTTTGAAATTATGAAACTGGAATTTTGATTGTAGACAAATTTCCGCCAATTATTCACTCAATACAACGGTGTTTTGGCTTAAACTAGTTGTTTTCAGCTAAGAAAACAATCAGCTTATGAAGTCTAGATCCAATATTAGGCCAAGTATCTGTCAATTTTTTAATTCGTAGTATAAAGCCAAATGAATCAAAGATCAAGCAACGCACCAAACAATTCTGAATCCCCTCAATAGCAAGAAGGTGCCTCCTTGGAAGCGAAACATCAACATCGGACCCATCAATTGGAAGAGATGGATAAAACTCACTGCGTTTTGAATCTTTCTGCTGGTTCAAATTACAATATGAAGTAGTTTTAACACAATGTTCTCCCAATAAAGGGAAGCCCATAACATACTGTGAATTATCAAATGACCCAATATTGTTATTGGTCTCTTTCCTTGAATCCACGGAAAATTGAGGAAGAGAACCCCCCAAAGAATTCTTTGTCGGAGTTGGGGATAGAGAATCATAATGAGAGAAGCCCATCAAGCGATCGTTAGTGTAGCGGGAGAATGGAAGTAATCCAAAGTAATTAGAGGAAGAGAAAGAACATGGTAGCTGGTGAGTTACAGGTGGAGGTGCCAAGGATCCATTAGAGAAGGAAAAAGCATCAGGGGATTGAGAATTCCCCTGTTTAATATTGATTTGAGGAGAAAAAAAGCTGTAATTATTCGATGCTGGGAAATTCTCTTCAGGGCATTCTATCTTCTGAGAGTTCATTTACAAATAAGGAAGAGTCAGAATCAGAGAGAGAAAATAGACAGCAATTAGAGACTGTAGGAACCCAAAATCAGTAATACGCCCAACAAAACTCAAGCAATGAAAAAAAGTTACTTATCAACCTGAAGTACTACAAAAGCGCAAATTTTGAGCACTAGAGTACTGTTTCCTTCCTATAAAGAAGGACCCAGATGACCATTAATATACATAGCACCCCTGGGAATATATGCATAACAGCCATGGAATTTTTCTATTGTTTCTTTGTGATATACTCAAAAAGTACAAACCATTTTAAAATTGAAATGGTTAAACAAAAGAGGTCAATAAACAACAGCAGGCAGAGAGAGAGACAAACAGCAGGCAGAGAGAGAAAGAGAAAGAGAGGTCTAATTCAGTTTCAGACATAATAATTTTCCTGTGTCATGACAATGACAAAGTGAGGAAATAAATAAGAATTGGGTACTGATTCTTCATTCAAAGAAGGCTAAAAAGAAAAAAAAAGGTATCAAGTTTTAATAAAACAGTGGCCCAATGGACTAGTTATCTGATAATGGAGAGGTATCAAAATTATTGTGTGGATACTGGAGACCATGGTCGTGGCATTTTCTTCTGACACCAATCTCTCTCTCTCTCTCTCTCTCTCTCTCTCTCTTTACATTTGGGAATTGGGATTTTAGAAAGGGTGGAAGATTAGTGTTTAGTGAATTATTTAGTGCAAGCTCTTCTTTGAATCCATCGATGACAGTGAACATCAACAAGGGCTAGAAGTCTGTCTCTCTCTCTCTCTCTCTCTCTCTCTCTCTTCCCATGAAGAAAAGGTTTCTTTCTTTCTCTCCCCCATGAAGAAAAAAGTCAACACTCTCTCTCTCTCTGCCCATTGAAGAAAGAGTCGACTCTCTTCTCTGTCTTCATATAAAAGACGACTCTCTCTCTCTCTCTCGAATAAAAAGTTCCTCAGTCACTCTCCATTAATGGTAAATTGAACCATGTCATTCTCTTACTGCCTGAGTAAAAGAAGCATCTTTCAACATTCCCCCTCCCACAACACTGGAAAATGAAGCTAAACTTTTTCTTACTGCTTATATATGTAGCTTTTCTTTCTCTCATATTTCTCCCTCTCCCATGAACCCATGACAAATGAAGCGCATTCTCTCTCTAAACAGTTTCTTAAAACCAGAGTTTGTCTCTCTAACTTCTTTCTCCCTCTCCCTCTCCCTCTCCCTCTCCGTCTAAGCACCCATGAAGCGAATTCATTATCCCACTTCCCAGGAAAGAATGCAGTGAGATCGTTACCTTTTGTACAAGGGAACGCTGTTAATTTTGACCATGTAAAATTGGAACGCGATTATTTTATTGATTAAGCTCAAAGTTTAAGCGAAATTTTATATCACACCCAAGCTATCAAATTTCAGATCGTAAAGATTGAAGTAATTGTAATATCTTCTACCAAAGGTAAACGGTCTAATTCTAAACAATTCCTTCTCAAAATGACAGCTTTGAAAAATAACTTTTGTAAAAAGTTTAAATTTTGTAGTACTTGGATCTCACTTTCCAAAAGTTCTACAATTTTGATTCAATCTCAAGACATTATTTTCTTCAAATCCTTAGAGGGTGCAATTAATAAATTCTTTTTTATTGAGGTTATTATATATATTAAAGAGGTTATATCATCAAAATTTGGGGTCCTAAAACTACTCGTAGGTGTTTACATGAGGGAGTAAATAGAAAGCATACTCCCGGAGGACTAGAATATCTTTTGGCCCTAAATAATTTCTTTATGCCAAATTTTGCACCTTGAGCTAGGGGTGGCAACGTGCACGCCTTGGTCCGGACTGCCACTGGCCTAGCCTAGCCCGAGTCTTACAGGGGCAGCTCTAACTCGACACAGCCCTTACAGGGCCAAAAAGACCAAAGCCTTGTTAGGGTTGGGTTGGGCCCGATACAATAAAAATAAACAAAAAAATAATAAAAGAAAATGTTTGGGCCGGGCCGAACCTGCCTCATAGTGTTTTAGGTGGAGTGTTCCCTTACGAATAATATTTCCGAGGCTTTTTTCGTCACTTTGGGAAGTGGGAAATATTTTGCTTCATTTTTCTGGAAGAGAAAAGTTAAGAAGGTAAAGCTACACTAGTTAGTTGAGTAAAATGACCTAAATACTCTCGTTAGTATGGATTTAAAATTCAAAATATGTACGTTTACTGAAAAAGTCTTGTTCCATTTTGGAAAAAAAATAAACAAAGGCGTTTTGATAATTTAGCCATAAATTAATCACCTAAGTTATCTGTACCAACTCTATCATGACCCGTCCCAAGCCATTTATGTCGGTCCCAAGTCCGTAAAAAAGGTTAGGGGTGTGTTAGATTGCCGTCAGCGTAAAATCTTTTGCCGAATCTATTTCACAAATCTTGAATCAGCTGAACCCAAACAATTAGGATAAAGTTCGGATGATGATGGTGAAGTAGGGATAACTTTCGATTATAAAAATATATTCTAGATTTAGAAATAATAAGCAACAAGTTTTCAGGTCATTAGTTCCTACTCATCAATGGTTTAAAACTTAGAACATTCGCATTTGAGCATCTTCTAACAAAATAATCGAAATAGTTAAGCGAATCAAATTTGAAAAGTAATGATTTCGATGGTAAATTAATTGATTAATCTAACTTAGCAATTTTCTTTTCAAGTGTGGTTTGTACAAGGTTGAGTCTCTAAACAATCAAAATAAACCATAGCTTTAAATAGTATCGAAAGATAATTTTTTAGTAAAAAAATCTTGGTGGTGGCTTGAAATTTTATTTTAATATTTAATTATAAAATTTAAAGCTTCAAAAATAGTGTAGGTCAAGCAAGTTCTATAAACATGTGAAAGCACTAAAAATTAACAGCCCAAATAGTGCATTATAAGACGCACTATTTCCCAAGCTTGAAATCCAATTTTTTTCATGTCAGCAGATCGAGATTATTGACTTGACGGTTTTTCAACATAAAAACAACCTCCTCTAGTGAATTTTTTGAAGTGGTCTTAATTTGATTGTTTAGAGCCTCAATCTTGTATAAACTAACTTTTTTTTTTTTTTTAATTTCAGGCATATTTTCTTTAAAGTTCCTCACTGTAGCTTGTGTGTGACGTAGAGATGGATAAAAGAGCTTACGTTGTAATTAAGAATCTAATGAAAGACCCAAAGAGCCCAAAATTCAAAAAGCAACTATTTCCAAATCTTTGGGTCAAAATCTCGAATATATTCCCATGATCTCTAATCTACCCATCTTGTTTCTTACAATACCATGTATACCCCTGCTTAGTTTCCGTAAAGTTCTTATTATAATTAATACTAACTTTTCTTGAATTCTCTAGGAGAATATAAAGCGGAATAATCGGTAACATCCAGGCCCCACACGTGTCAACAATAAGGGTTAGGATATTATCTTCAAACCCAACTTTTGTAATGAAAGTCTAAAGAAACTTTGCCTTATTCCTAAACTACCCATATTCTTATAAAGGAAAAATAACCAAAGTATGTTAATTTTATGGAATGATTATTTAGGAAAACTAAGGGTCCTCACCCTTGCTTAAACCATGCAATCTCTCTCTCTCTCACACGCTTTTTCTCTCTCTTTCTCTCTCTCTCCTCTATTTTAGAAACACTATGAGCCATAATCCTTACCCAAAACACACAATCTCTCTCTCTCTCAAATTTATGGAATGACCACTCTATTTTAGAGAGATTAAAATTTATAGGATGGTACATGAATCTATTCTTATCTCTAATAATAAAATTTTAAATTTTAAAAATAGTTCAAATCAAGTATATTTATAAATACATGAAAATCTTGAAAATAGACGGTCTAAATAATGTGTTGCAAGATGTACTATTTTTAAGGCTTGAAATCTCTTTTTTTTCCATATCTATCTATTCTGATGTCGAGATGATCAATTAGATGGTTTTCTAACATCAAGACAACTTTTTTTTTTAAAGATCTTAGAGGTTCACCTTAATTCTATATTTTAAGGTATCAACCTTATATAAATTTTTTCCAATATTTAAAGGATAAACTGGTGGTATGGTATTTGGACCTTTTAGGATTAAGAGAGTGATTTTCATTTCCTAAAGGGTGAGCTAGTGTTTAGGATTAAGAAAGTGTTTTTTATTTTCTAAAAGGTGAGCTCTGTCCCTAGAAGTATTCATCTTAAGATAGATACAAATAGGCGGACTATTTAAAAACAATTGAAACTAACAATATAAATGTTTTTTCAATAGAATTATTATTTTAATTTTTAAAATTTATTTATTTTTTTATATTAATGATCTCCAAGAAAATACATACCTTTTAAAATTAAGTCCAAAAATTAATCTCAAATTTTTTTAAGATGCGATTCATTTCTACATGGACCGATAGAAACCGTGTCCTTCAAATTATCCTTGGGAATTTTGTTAAGGTGGAGCGCTTTCAGTGTGTATCAGTTATTCGGTGGTGGAGCCCACTCGATTAGTTACGTGGACGGTCCATATTCTGATTCGTTGAGAGTTAGGGCGGCGATGCTTGCATTAGAGAATCTTAACCGTCAACGTGTCGAAATTAACACGTCTATTCCGCTCTTCCGCAGATCATTTTGAATATCATGTTCTCTTTCTTTCGAGGACGTATGTCCCCGAGGGAGCATAGTTTACTTCTAGTCCTCGGGCTAGAGGACTTGGAAGATTTTTTTTCAATTTGAAATTTTGATAATCACCTTAGTAACTCTTAGTGACTATTTTCAAAAAAAAAAAAAGGTTTTTTAACACTTAGATCTCATCTTCTAAAAATTGGATAGCTTCTATTCAATCTTGAGACATTATTTTTTTTTCAAGAGCTTAAAGGACCCAATTAGAAATTTTTTTATTGATCTTAATATATGTGCTAAAGAAGTTATATCTCCAAAATTTAGAGTAATAAAACTAAATCTAGGTTAGATTTTACCTAAAGAGTAAATGGACAGTACGCTTTTGAGGGAGTAGAATACCTTTTGGTCTCTCTATTTGTGTGTATATATTATTTTGTATATATATATATTACAATTTGTATATATATTATTTTGTATATATATATTACAATTTGTTCTTATTTGAATGGATGAGTAGGATCATTCATATTAGTATTATGAGTAATGATCCTATAGGACTGTCTCGTATTTATGTGTGCAGGATTTCAAAAGTTTACCATTAAAGTTAGCGCATATCTCTAGAAAATTATGTGTATAAGATCTCAAAGGATCACCATTAAAGTTAATACGGATCTCTAAAAAAGTTAACACATAGATGTAAGATTTGG